CCCCCCCCCCCCCCATTTATTCCCCATGGGGGGGGGTGTGTGGGGGGTTTCGGGACCACGAAATTTGGATTCCTTGGGGTCAATTCCCTATTCAACCCCGCGGTCTCCGACTTCGTGTGACCTAAGACAACCGAGAAAAAGGCCTGGTACGGGTGGTCTGAAACACCCTGTATAGAGGGAGTTATACACCTTCCTGAGAAATACCTGAAAATAAAAATGATCATGACAAAAAGTAACAAAATTCGAAAAAGTAGAAAACGAGTCCATGCTTGAATTAAAGCGCCAACTCTTTGTGAAAATTGGCGATAGGACCTGCGGAACAAAATTTCATAGGAATTCTTCTAGCCATCCATAGAAAGTTATAGAAAATCAGAGGGCTATTGAAGCTATGAAAAACAGTATAGCCGGCTATAGATCTGTGGCATTTTGGAACGCAAATCCTACAGCCATTTTTTATCAGGCTTACACAGCCGCTAGATTCACTCAACTTTCAGCCAATATTAAATAATTTTTAAAACACTGAAATATGGTGCAGCCACAAAATGACGATATAATCTGATGAACGAAAAAAACTGCAACTCCATGAGAGGCCATGAGAGACTATATAGGAAAGAACTTTCTTGGAGACTCTAAACCACAAATTTTGAGAATGGGACGAAACGATGAGAAAATTAAGAAAAATAACATCTCTTTTTGAAACATAGGTCTCGGATCACAATATATTTCTTTACTTGCAGGAAAAAAAATTACCTAGAAAATTGGACGTATCCATGCTGATAGAAACTATGTTGCACGCAAACGTATGGAGAAGATCGTCCTCTGATGCTGGGAACGGCGTCGCCAAGGCCCGCAGACATCACCCGCGCACTCAGAAACCCTTTGTACATGCATTATTTAGCTTGGCTATGTCAAAATAAGATCGAAAAATTTGGGAGGCTGACTTTTTTGTTGCAAAGCTTGGAAAAATTGTGTTTTGAGAACATTAGGGGCTGAAATTTCATCATCAAATTTTCTTTTTGAGTTAATACACTGCGAGCTCAAAATCGTCCATCCGATAAGACAAAATCATTTCTGATCATTCGGAAAATGCAAAATTATTCCTTCAGACAGACCTTGTCTTCGCGTGAAATTGTTCCTGTGACAGAGGTCGTGGACTCCCGCGGCTGTAGTTCAAGAAGTGTTTTGAACAAATGCTCTGCCTTTGTTGTAAGAAATCCTATTTCAGCATTTGGATGCATTCCGTATAGGGTAGGACTTTCTTGTGGCAGCATGTCATCAATGTAATTGTGGTATCCCAAGTAATCACTGTTGGGCGGAGCAGGAAAACCAGGGGCATAATATTTGTCACCGTCCATCTACACAACAATAAATAACGATTCAACTGTTACGGTTTGTTCAGATAACTTTTAACGTTATTTAGACGTTCAGACGTTTCGATTCAGAACAATTTGCATGGTTTATGTTACCGTTTAGAAACAAATGTGATTAATTTTATCCTAACCGCAGACATTGAATGACAAATTTAAGAAAAATAAAGTTTTAAATGATCATGGCCATCTTTAACTGCCAACACTCACTAGACTACATTACACCGCCAAAAGTCGAGTTCCCCTTAGCCTTAACAGTTTTTGTTTGGTCTCTGGCGAGGACACAGTTAATACTTTTGTCTCTAAACGGCAACGTAAACCATACAAAATCTTCTAAATCTGAGGAGAACTCAACTTTTGACGGCGATGTCCTTTAAAGTAATCATAAATATAATGTAGTCTAGTGAGCTCAGACAGTGAAAAATGATTATGAAAATTAAAAAAAAACATTTAAAACCTCATACAGGGTGTACCGAAAGTCCATCCCACCCCTGCTAACTTTTGGACGAATTGAGCTAGGGAATTGAAACTTTGGGTATGTTCCTAGGTCAAAGGGTACTAACTTTTGGTACCCCCAAAATTTTTAGGGCCCCCTGGGGGGGCCCCACGGACCCCTACTTTTTTTTTCAAATGGCAACCCCCATCTTGTGATACATCGTTAGAAAGAACATAAAAAAAGAAAATTTTTGGCGCAAACCGGAAGTCTCTAGCTATCACCGTTTCAAAATGGCGGCCGGTTAAAGTTTAAAATGGCGGAAATCGGAGTTTTCGGCCATTTACCGTCGGATCTGTCTGAAACTTGGTTTGCGGGAGTTTTTTGGCGCCAGAAAACCGAATTTGGCACCAGAATTTCCAAATTCCTAACCGTATTCAAAACGGCGGCTTCGAAATAGCGCCTATTTTGAAGGTAAATGAGCCATTTTCATCGCAGCAATCCTGATGGAAGGAAATGTAGAAGAAATTTGAAAATTTGCATAAACACTCATGGTTAGTATGACTTTTCATTAAAAAAATCGGCTCTTTTAAAATACCACCCTATGTCGTCTCAGCCCCCCTCCAATGCGTGATAAAAAATGCTCTGAAAACGGGTATTTTGAAGCGAAAATGCTCAGTTATTCGAAATAAAATCCCGTTTAAAATGAATATGTTTTTTTGTTTTTTTGATTTTTTCCCCTTCATTTTTCTGTTGAAGAAAAACTGCAAAGTGAGAATGGATATCCAAGTACTTTTGCTTCTATACTTTTTACCATCTTTTTATAATAGATTCTCATCAGACCGCGACCTTGACTCATTGGAATTCAACGATCAGGAGAATTAAAGCTGATTGGGATTCAACGATCAGGATCATTCAAGCTGGTTGGGATTCAACGATCAGGATCATTCAAGCTAATTGGGATTCAACGATCAGGATCATTCAAGCTGGTTAGGATTCAGCGATCAGGATCATTCAAACTCGTTGGAATCCAATGATCAGGATCATTCAAGCTCGTTGGAATCCAATGATCCGGATCATTCAAGCTCGTTGGAATCCAATGATCAGGATCATTCAAGCTCGTTGAAATCCAATGATCCGGATCATTCAAGCTCGTTGGAATCCAATGATCAGGATCATTCAAGCTCGTTGAAAGCCAATGATCTGGATCATTCAAGCTCGTTGAAAGCCAATGATCTGGATCATTCAAGCTCGTTGAAATCCAATGATCCGGATCATTCAAGCTCATTCGGGCGCATTAAAATTCAATGATCAAGTGAACGATCTGGATCATTCAAATTTGAATGAGCTGACGAAAAACTCATTCAAATTGAATGATCCGGATCGTTCATTTTTCAATGAGCTTGAATGATCCATTTTTTCTCGGGCGCAGTCGCTGATGTCATGGCCGAGAGTGCGTAGCGTGCGTGACAGGGACCGACCCCCTGCCAGCATATTGAGACAGTTTTCCACCTACAGACCGAACAGCGCTAGTGCAAAGCCCGCCGTTTTCTTATGTCGTGCGTCCCTCACGCAAAGACCCGCCTGACTGTCGCGAGCCGGACGGAAAGTGTTCAGTGTCCGTCGTGGTGTGGGGTCACGAGGTTCACCGCGAGTGTGGTGCAATAGAGCAAGGAGGCCATCCCCTCTCCTCTTCCCCGCGACGTCGACCGATGTACCAGAGTGACGCAGTGCCGCCCACGTCACGCGGTCCGCGCCTCCGGCTTCGCGCAGCCTCTGCCGCTTCCGCCTCCGGCGAGGCCCCCCGGCACACCAGCCAGCCGACCGCGACGGAGCCCACGGCACACCAGCCAGCCGACCGCGACGGAGCCCACGGCACACCAGCCGCCGCGTCCGATCACTACAACGGCCCTTGCCTTTCCAGCTGAGACGACTACGCCGCACCGCGCCTGAGTCAGTGCTACCCCTCCTGTGTTTTCCCCCCTTCAGACTGTAAAGACTTTAGTCCTCCCCCCTTTTGGCGTTTTGTTGTTGCCCGTTAGCCCCCTCCCCCGGACTGCCTTAGTTTTGCCTATGTTCATTGTCCGTATGCCTGTATTTTTTCTTTGCTTTTGTTTGCCTATATAAAGATTTGTTCCCCCCATTTTCGGAGTTTTACCTGTTTTTTCCCCCACCCACTTTGTTCTTAAGTTCTCGTTTGGCAATGTGAGAGGCAAACAGGGTCGGCTCAAAACCACTCTCCGGGAGTTTAGTTTTTTGGCTACCCGAAGCCGGCCACCACTTGAAACGGCTAAAACACGCCCGGCAACGCACTTGACACGGGCTCGCTCTGGGGGCGTAAAGAGCGTGAATATTTCGGGGGCGCCTAAAAGGCGAGGTCTCCACCAATCCGCGAATTTTAGGAGCCCCGGATAGCTCACATGGTTGAATGATGACAATACAACAATTAATTGATTAAATGATTGATTTATTAAATGATTGATTGATTTAATAATCATAGACAGAATACACGAATCAAATTTCAGAACAACGAAACCGAAAAACACAACTAAATCTTCTTCAAAATCTTCCAAACTTCCAAAAACTCCCCAAGCAACCGAAACTCAGAAAGAGACAAAAACTGCAGCTCGCACACCAGGACTTGGCTGGGGCAACGGTCGGTCGACTCTATGTTGCTGATCCTCTATGCCAGGGGTCTCGCGGAGGCTGCTGACGGATTTTCACTCAAAACGTTGACGGAAGGGTTGAACCGCACTCAGGAACTCGGCGGGGGCAACGGTCGGACGACTCTAAAGTTGCTGATCCTCTATGCCGGGAGGTCTCGCGGTGGTTGATTCGACACCACCGAAAAACGCTTCGAGGACTCAGGGATGGAATTTTACGAGCACCTGGACATTACACGGAATCGCGACATTTCCCATCCCGGCGAACATGAGCGACTGACTTTAGAAATTTTCCGGAAAACGCGTGTCACCGTGCACCGCCGCTTCCCACGTCCCGCGCGTCCTGCCCCTTTACGCCAATAGCATCACACGAAAAGTGCTGATCAATCTAGGGCTGGCCGCGGTTCACACGGGAAACAAGAGCAAAACCTACCTAACCTATGACGTCACAATATTTCCTCCTCGCTGAGCCGCTGTCCGGCGTGCGATCCGCGCTATTCTCCCAGTACAAGAACAACATAAATAATTTTTAGGTGTAGAGCTCAATTTTCGTTTCACTAATTCCGACAACAAAGTTAGGAAGGTGCTGGTATTGGCTAGCGTGGGCTGCATGGCTTATATCAACTACTGCTCCACTGTGATGCTATCGTGACGGTTATTTTTTGTCGTGTGCTTGTGTGATTTTTTTTTACTTGTAACTATTAATTATTCGAGAAAATGTCCGAGCTTCGAGTTATCAGTGTCATGCATGCTGTGTGCAGTGCATTTTGCGTATCTAAATCATCCTAATTTGTGATCAATCGTTCACTCTACGAGATCACTAAATCAAATACGATTTTAAAACTTAACATACAATGCCAGTTTTTCAATCAAGTTCTCCTCATAATTTTTATTGTTTTAATAATATTGAAAGATTAAAGTTACCTTTACAACCTTTCAAATGTGCCGGGATGTGCGATTTCAGTTCACTCGTATCTGTACGGAATGTCAAACCATGAGGCTGTAAGTCGAATCTTATACGTATAAGTATACTGCTCATTTTACTAGTTATTATCACGAGAGGTCTAGTGGCTGGTCTAAAGTATTAAGCGCCACCTATCGGCTGAGCGCTTAAGAGGGTGGGTCTACTTTCCTGCCACGTACACCGGCGGTAGAGAGGGCTGTAAAGCTGGTAACCGGATGCTGCATCAATGGTTTGTGGGAATGAAGCTCGCGGTGGATTTACTCGAGGTAAACTACACGCTCGAAAATTACATCCCACAGCAGCTCAAAAATCCTCCAAAGAATTCAAGGATTTGACTGAAGCTGGACCATCAAAATAAGTAATAGGTTAGTTCATTTGATTCTTTATTTGCATTGTGTTAATGAAAGTAACTTCTCCAACCTCCATTTATTTACATGAATTACTTTGTATTCAAAGTACTGATGAATAGCAATTTATCATATTAAAATTTCAAGGTTACGCTAGGTTGCCAAACTACAGCTGGAACAATGAAAATAAAATGGGATTTTAAGGCATTTTGGGCAGTTTTGCCCGTCATCAATGGGAGAAAAAACGTAAGAATAATATTTCTTAATAAAAGACTAAGTGATGAATTTTTCACAAAATCGGTCTTCAGTATCACTTTGCGCCGAAAAATGACATTGGTGCCACTTTGCAGGTGAAAAACAGTAAAAAATCGTGATTTAGGGGTATTTCAGCGGTTTTTTGCATTCCGGGCACAGAAGATGACGGCGGAAAAATTTCAAAACATTTTTGCTTCATTTTCTCACCTATTGGCAGCCTTTGCGCGCCCTCCATTCGCGGAACGAAAAAAAAAGGTCCAAGAACCCTCCACCCTAATACACACCCAGTCACTAAAAATTAAAATTCCAAAATCAGACCTTACTCTGCAGTTTCCAATACTAGAGACATCCCGGAGAAGATGGTCAACTGTTTCGGAGATATCACAAGTCCGAAATTCAATAATTTTTGAACAATCTGGCAAGAATGTTGAAGAATGACGGCTCAGAAATTGTGAAAAAACAACAACAGACCTAAATGCTGAAAGTGAATTGTACTGAGGGACCAATTGTAGAAATGATAGGAAAGAAAGAAAAGATGGAGTAGGATATTAGGTTTTGAAGTGAGACAAGTGAAGAGCCGTAGCGACCCCCCAATTTGCCTAGGCTCGGAAAATGAGAGTGAGAAGAGAAAGATTTGAGGTGACTGCAACAATTGATTTAATGATCTGGAAGAGATCCTATCTTTGGAGTTTTATTTTTACCTGACTCAGAGTGAATCGGCTACTATCCTTAGATAGGAAACCTGAAGGGTTACCAGGCGTATAGAACACCGGCTTCTGCAGTGAGCAAGAAAACCAGAAGGGTTTGAATTTTGAGAGCTATGTGCTATCGCAGTTATTATCATTCCGGATTCAGAAGAATCGGCTTCTCCAAATTGGAAGTGGTATACAAACTGTATGAGTCCAGAGATGACATGAAGAGTCGACCAACAAGAAAATGACCTGGGGTCAAGGCGTCCATATCTGAGGGACCTGTTGATAGAGGGCAGAGCGGCCTAGAATTCATTATCGCCTCCACTCGAGTTACGAGTGTAGTCATTTCCTCGAAGGTGAAAATATGAGTACCCATGATTCTTTTGAGATGATGTTTTGCGGATTTTATCCCTGCGCTTCATGTAGTCCACAAAAATTTGGCGCGGAAGCGGGCTGAAAATGCCAATTGATTTCTTTTTTGCTTAGATTTTCAGCGATGCTTGTTTCGTTAGTTTTTAGGAATGCATATAATTATTTTAAAGAGTTATTCATTCCTACAAAGTTGGTGCCGTTATCAGAGAACATATTTTTGCATAATCCTCTGCGAGAGACAAATCGAGCTAATGCCCCTTCAAAGGCCTTTGTAGTCAATTCGCTTACAAATTCCAGGTGTACCGCTTTAGTAGCCATACAAATAAATAAGGCGAAATACCCCTTCGTTTGCCTTCCATTTCTGAGCTTGTTTTCTTTGACTTGGAATGGTCCGCCGTAATCACACGCTGTGCTGAGAAACGGATATGCTGCCTGAACCCTCCATTTTGGTAAATCGCCCATAAGTGGCTGTGTGAATTTTGGTCTGACTTTAAAGCACTGAATGCACTTTTAAGTTTAGACCTGACTACGGCACGCCCATTAATTATCCAAAATCGTTGATTGATTGCTGCTAAAGTTGAGCTGGGAGATAATAATCGATTACTAGCCGTGTGAAATGATGATTTTTAGGCAATAAAATGGGAAATTTGAAGTCGTAGCTCATGTCGGAGTGCCTGAGTCTACCACCTACTCGCAATAATCCCTGTTCATCTAAAAAAGGGCGAAGTTTGCATATAGAAGCAGGGCTCTCTTTTTTCTTGCTCAATGTTCTGATCTCTGTTTTAAATTCTTTGCCTTGAATAATTTTTATCCACCAGTGCCGGGCCTCTCGTAGCTCCGCACTGGAAATCTGTCCAGTTCTTTTCTTGGTAGGATGCCGGGTATTATGGCTAAATCTCAACATCCATGCGGTGGCTCTGAGCAGAGGGATAAATCCTGAAAATGATTTTAAGAAAGTTTCCTCCCATGATTTTTGTTTATTTTGTACCAGGGTGACGATGTCCGCCCTGCTAAAAATGTTCCATGTGGATTCACGTGGAAATGACCCGATTTCCATGTGATTTCATGGAAATCGTCTGACTTCCATGTCCTTCGACATGGAAATCATAACGTTTCCATGAAACTCACATGGAAACCAAGTCATTTCCATCAAGCCGTCATGGAAATGAAAACATTTCCTTGTGAGCTCGACATGGAAATCATAACGTTTCCATGCAACTCACACGGAAACCAAGTCATTTCCATCAAGTCTTCATGGAAATGAAAATATTTCCTTGTGAGCTCGACATGGAACTCATAACACTTCCATGCAACTCACACGGAAACCAA